TTGTAATTACTTTTCTAGATGTTCCACCACTTATTATTTTTAATGGAACAAGTTGTTTCATTCCACAATGTTCCCAAGACTGTGTGCACACAGGTTACGGGGACCCAGCTGTTCTTTTCAAACTGAAACACCAGGCTCCACAGGGGCCATACAGCCCCCGTGAGCTCACTGTGTATTCCTGAAAAGCCTGAAAAATGTGTTGCTTGTAACATCAATGTGTTAAGTGCAGATGATGTGTGGGGCTGATGGACAGGAAGGGGAGCAGATGTGCTCAGGTTGAAGATAGAGTGTCTCATGGTGACAGCAACCAATTTTTATTGTCTTTTTCAAAAAGAATAGGAAGGCTGCACACATCACAAAGAGTGCTGAGAATCCCGGGTGTATAAGCAGATGAATGGAAGAGATTGAAATGATACTGGGCTTCCCTTGTTAATGAATCCTTAATTGGTAACAGGTGGGACTTTCCGTTTTCACTTCTGTTAGTGTAAATCAAGGGCAATTCCACTGACATGGATGGCACAGTGCCACTTGTAAAGCCAGCATGAGGGAAAAATCAAAATGCACCATTGCTCAAAAAGAGGTTCTCAAATCGACCGAGCCACATACCAAAAACCCACAACAAAGTGGAGGGATGGATCCATACAGGTGAGGGGAAGGAACGAGGGGGAGGGTATGCCCAGAACTAAAGGGCTAAAAGGTTTGAAATCTTTACAGATAAAAAAAATGTAGAGCAGTTACTGAACTTGGCATGTTATGCAAAACTCCATCACCTTCCTTCTTCCCATACTATTTTGTTACCATGATTATGATAAAATACTTTATTTTCACTTCAGAAGACTGTCTCCTCAAAATATGTTACAAGTTAATGTTAGCTTACCCTGGCAACTATAAGCAAAAGAAACAGGAAAAAAAGCATAGGTGATAGAGTGCCTCACAACGATCAATAATAAAGTTTCCAATCAAGGCAAGAATTGAGACAGAGGAACGTGAAAGGTTGGAAGTGGCAGAAAGTATCTCAAACCATCTTCTGAGCCATACAAACCCTAGAAGCCCAGGTATCCTGAACCTGCAACTGGATGATCAGGTCAGAGGAGAGAGAGGCTTGCCATTTGGGTTCAAAGAAAGAAAATGGCCTAGGAGAGTGGCCAACTGCTGTAGAGGCATGTGGAAGGTAGAAACCTGTACAAATTAGTTCCTCACACCCACACTCATCTCTTCTGGTTCATAGGATATATAAAACTCTGCAGCCATCACTTTAGCCTGAAGCTAAAGGTTTAATTACTGTCCCTTTGGGAGGTGAAGGAGGAGTATATAATTTTATAGTCCTGTAACATTGTTTACCTACCAAATATAAGACATGCACATAATAGCTGATGGGATAATGGAATTATGTTATTGGTCTTGAGTAATCCAGTCACTTCAGATCCCAATTTATAAATCTCTATATGCTACTACACCATATAAGTTTTACTTTCATGTATCTAAAGGAACTTGTACATTGATTATTCACTATTGACATCTCTCAACAGCCTTGTGATTCTATGCTGCCTAGCAATGCTGTGGAATCTTCCTCAGGGATGTGTTCAAAAAGAAGTTGGTTAAGAGTTTGTCTAGGATGGCTTAGGAAGAGCAAATCCTGCATCTAAGCTGCTGGTTTGACAAGGTAACCCTTAGAGTCATAGGTTTGGAAGGGACCTTTTGATTCCACGACCACTAATTCAGCTTAATTCTTGTTGTCAAAGCTACAAGGTATCCACTGTAAACATGCTGCTGGAAAAGTTGTGGGCGTTACCAAAAAAAAGTCTGCACTCAGGTGTAAAAATGTACACAACTTGCATTTAGTTTTAGTGATGCTTTCATGATTGTCTGCAAACTTTCCCACAAATCTTAGTGTTGAGTTTCTTGAATCAATGGGTCTTATCAGATCTTGATTTTAATGGGTGTGTAATTCATTCATGTTTGTGGTAACTACAGTAATTGAACAATCCAATGTGACATGCAATAAATTATGATGCAAGAGCAGCATGCAAGAGTTAAACCACTATTAGAGACAAGGATGAAAGGTGTGTCACCAGCCACATAACTATTGTTATGCAAAGACATCATTTTACAGCATCTTATTTCGTACCTCCCACTGGGAGAGAATTAGCTCTAGAGGAATGTACTATTCAAATAAAAAAAAAGATTTATGCCAGTGTAATATTGGGAAGTGTATTTGTTGTGAGAACTGGTTTCTAGACATTCTGTATGACTCAAGTGACGTTGGATCAACTTCTAACACTGAGTCTCCACCCTTCTTTCTTCATCTCATGTGAAACCAAAGTTACCCACCCTGAAGCTGTTACACCACTTAATACCATTTCAGGCCTGGGCACAGAAGTACAGAGATTTTCCATCTGCACTTCCCATTCATAGAAAGGCAGCAAGCTGCCATTCAACCTTCATCTCTTCACAGAGCAATCCTCAACGCAGGGCGCCCCACAGGTTTGAAGACCGGCACAGAAGAAGGGCGGCCTCCCATCATTCCCCCTTGGGTATATCTCCCAGAATATTCTTGCTTGGGACTGAACTAAGTAAAGAATGTAGCCCCTCTTAAAAGACAATGCACAAACTATTGCCAGGAACAATATTGCTAGGACCTCTTTTATATTAACAAGCTGCAAGGGGTCAAGACACTGACCCCACATGAGCATTTCTGTTAGGGAAATTGCCTGAGTGAAATTGCAATGAGTGAAATGCCTAGCTTTGTTCTTGTAGCATCTGTCCCTCAAGAAGCATTTGAAATACTCTGTGTCAATCTCTGGGGTGGCTGCTAGTTTTGTGAAGTTCTCCACATGTCTTTTAGCCCAACAAAACCACTATCCAGCCTAGAATATTCATTGGCCAAACTATTGTTTTTAATTAACTTGTGTAGCTTTCTTGTGAAGTATGGTGGCAGAGTGGTGGCAGACTACAGATCTAGATGTGTGTGTTTCTGCCTTGTTCCACCAAAGTCTGCCAGCAGGGAATTCAACTTTTAATAGATCCCTGATTATCCATGCTGGGGAGTCAAAGGCTGCCAGATGTGAGGCTAGTAACATCACTTCCTTGTGTACTGCTGGCTATGAAAATGGTGTGCCTTAATTGTGCTAGCCTGATGGGCCATGTAGGTACAAAGACCCACCCTGAAGCTATTTTGTAATCAAATGTTTGTTTTAGTGCTCACCACAATAGAAGACTTATGAGAATAAGTGATATCTACAGCAAGGCTGTCCTATAACATATGAGTAAAATATCAATGTGTCTTACTAATAATATTTTGTACTTCTGCAAAATTATCTATCTGGGGACTCTTGAAAGACTTTGCAAACATCAGCTAATTAAACTCAGACCATTTCTGTTCAGTAGAAAATGCATAGCTTCAGTTTTAAAGTTAAGGCAAGTTAATTATGGAGTATATAAGCTCAAGTTCCCACCTCCAAAAGAACCCTATACTATGGACTCCACAGCAGTTGTGTGGCATTAAACTGCCTAGGTTGACCCCAAACCCAGCTTTACCCTGGGGGCACTGGATTAGAGGCACTATCTAGACTCAGACTATGGATAATCAATGTGGTTATAGAGTTGATTAAAAATACAGTCAAGTGAATCACTTGGTAATCAGATTCAAACCCAGTCCATGTTGCCTAGAAAAAGTGTGCTGTTTTTTGGAAACTACATGTTAGTTTTCCATGGATCTGGTTTGCATTAAGATAAATCTCTCTTTTTGTTTTAGCTGAAATGTGCTAGAGTTGGAAGACATGCTTGATAGGTTTCAGGAGGGAATACATTTCAAAAGGTTTTATTTATAGTTGTGTTTCAGATAGCTTTATCTTTAGGGATCCTGACTTTTCAAAACACCTCTCTCACGCTCTCCATTTCTCTCCTGCTTTCACTTTTCCACTCTGGAGACATTATAAACATCTTTCTGAACGTGCTTTTAAATAAACATTGTATTTTCTATGTCATGCTTACAAAGAACAGTCTGGTCTCCATTTCATTATGTTGCCTCTGTTTGTTTATAACAGCCAAACAAACAGCAAAATATCTTCCTAAGGAAGACGTGAGAACTGCCAGAAACGGATTTTCATTTTGGTTGATATTTTGCATCTAATGACTTAAACTTTAAAGGCAGCTTTTGTTCTTATGGTGATTTTACATTCATCCCTATTTCCCTTTTTTCCACTGCTGCATTTTAGTCATCTTCTTCTCATGTCTCTACACCACATTTGACCATTTTTTACACATGCTTGTGTTTATTGTACATTGTGAAGTCATTCATTGCATATGTGCCTTCAAGCAGCAGACATCAAAGAAGGTATTGCATAGTTCGAGGCACTGTACCATAGTCACAGTCACAGGTGGTTGACATCACCACCTTTGGCATGGTTGAGCAGCCCCCAGTAGTAAGAACTTGATTGTTGGACTGTCCATTTTTCCACTGTCAGGTATTTTCTTCAGCCTCTTGTTCCACATCTGTAGTCATGTCTCCTTGAGTATGGTATTGAGAGATTGGGTGCTGGTGTGACTTCAAACATTTGTACAGTGTGACTTCAAGGTAAACTGGATTTGGACAGTGGGATACTGGGGTCTCAGACCATGTAATTTTGAGGTGGCAGTTGACCTCACTTGTGTGTTCGTTGGGTTGGCACGTCATTGGTTTTCAATGTAGTATGAGGTTAGGCCAATTACTGCCTCGTTTAGGGATTTTTCAATATGGTCAAAGCCAGTGTTTTGGGCGTTTATGCACAAGATGTCTGCATAGATGAAACGTTTTGTTCCCAAATTGATTGGTTGGTCATTTATATAAATGTTGTATAGTGCTGGTGCAAGTATGCTTCCTTGAGGAAGACCATTAATCTGTTGCCTTCATCGGCTTTGCTTCCCATCCAGTTTGACAAAAAAAAGTCCATTATCAAGCAGGGTTAATGTCAGCTCTGTAAGGTGTAGATCTTTTGTCATTTCCAGGGTCTTATGGGGGAGTCATTGGTGGTTAACTGTATTGCAGGTGGCTGCTAGGTTGACACAGTTCCAGTGATTTGGCCTTTCAAAACTGTCCTCAGTAAGTTGAGTTAGATTGAACAGCTGGCTTATTATGCATTTTGGTAGTAAATCAGTACAATGCAGAGCAATCTGAACCAAGAAACCAACATAGATGGAATCAGGGGCAGATCCAGTGGGATGGTATACTGGTGAAGTTGCACCCCGCTTTGTTTCCAGGTTCACACACAGTTTAAAACCAACTGGTTGGCAATGGCAGTAACATTCCAATTAAGGCAACAGTAAGGGAGTCAATTGACTTAATGTCTCATTATAATCTACCTGATGCCTCCTAAACTCTTCATTCCCCTGGTATTAATGCCCTTCTCCTTTCTAATTGTCTTGATGAACAAAACTGGTCAAGCTATCCTTTCTTCTGCAGTTCTGCTGTCTGCAGCTGTTCCTGGTAATGTAGCTCCTATTTCACAGCCCTGAAGACTGTTTTTGATTCTAGCTAAAAACATTAACTCAGGTATGGAAATATTAACTTAGATGAACATTTTCAGGCTTGGAAATAACTTTCCATAAAGCACTGACTGGATGCACTGCCGTGAGGCTCAAGATGGTTAGATTTTGTTTTATGAATTTGAAAAAAGAGATGTACATTTGATTCTAATGACTACGGGACTAATGAAATAACATATTGATTATTTTTTGCTCGGTTTGTTGTGTTTTTATACATATCATATGATTTATCAAATTAATGCACATTCCAATAAAGTCATATTTGTTTTTGCTTCAGTCTTAAACTGAGTAATAGCCCTGGGCCACTAGCTGATTAGTAAATCTTCTCATTTTTAATATCCTCCAGAAAATTGTGTTGTATTTATATGTGATGAGGCACCACACCACCTGCACCCCCTCTTTTCAAAATCCTAGATATGCTCATGAGTGGAATGATGGATAAATCTGCCACATATAATCTGTCTTGATTTTTTTTTTTTTAATGTATTACCAGTCTGAGGAAGAAAAAAAAAGAAAAGCATAATTGCTGCTGTTACTATTGCTGTTGAAACTATTTCTTGCTGTTTCAATTGCTTTTCCTTTTTTTTAATTTTTTTTTTATCTAGCACTATTGATGTCCCACTACAAACAATTTCTATAAGCAAAATTTCTTCCATCTCCCAGTGTTTCAAAGCAAATGTCAAATCCTTATCCCGCTCCAGTTCCACTCAGGATCCATTACATTGAACAGGAACAGTCATTGAAATTGACTTTTTAAAAATTAGTGGGTCCTACTGTTATGTAGGAAAAGCCTACCTGCCACAAAAGGGCCACAAAGTTGAACTCTATTCAAATTTGACTACTTTACTTTTTAAACAGGAGTAAGGCCAGAAGTGGCAGTATTGGTCCTAATGACACCAAACCCTGCACCACAATATCCCACAACAGCAGTAGAGTTATAGAAGTGCTGTGATGAATTGATGGCTTCATTAGTTTACAATTTAGGAATCAATGGACATGACTTAATAATAGAGGAAAGCTCATAGGAGCTAAATACCAGCACTTTAATTGCAGCAGGATTTCTGGGCTGTCACATACTTTTAAAAATACTTCACTAGAATAACAGCAGCAGCAAAAATCCCTACAATCAGACAGACTGAAAGAATAAAGAAATATTTGCCAAAAAGGATAAAGTATGTGGCTGAAAGTCACTTTGTAGTGTTAACTCCAGTCATCAAGATATGTAGCTATGTACCTGAAAACTGATGTCATCTTCTTTAGCTGTGATGCTTATGTGGACCTCATTACCATAACATACGATCACCTTGTAGTCTTTAACATGGCTGTCCATATAACATCCCTGTAAGGCAAGGGAAAATCTATTATCTCCTTTTACCTTTCTCAGTTGGAGAACTGAGACTCTCAGCAACTGAGCCCAGGTCCTCAGTCAACTAGGCACCCTGAGTGTTTATATACATGCTCTGGGAGGCAGGGAGTGGGAGGAGTTCTTTAGTTACCACTCCAATTAAAGTGCCCAGAGTGTCATGTGTGCATCAGTGTCCCCATGATGAAAAATGGCGGTGGGGGCGTTTAATTAAAGCTCATTCTATGTAGAATGAGCTCTCATAGAGAGAGCTTTAGTTAAAGTGCCCCCACCACCATTTTTCAGTGTGGGGGCACTGATGCATGTGACACTGGAGTCTGCTGGAGTGTGGTAATTACAGTACATTGGAGCAGCCTCAATGCACATGTACAGGTGCCCCCTGATCCTACTGAAATCTGCCCAATAACCTAGAACAGCTGTGGCAGGGGGAGGAACTGAACCCAAATAGAAAGCTAGGGCCGTTCCTTACCGGACCATCAGCCCTATCCTTATATCTAATCCATCTCAAATTTGGAGGCATCAGCCATTTTGCTTCAGTTTGGAAGGAGAAGGTAACAGTAAGCCACTATGTTTCTTCTCTGTTGTTTTCCTTCATCTTCAGTAAATGTCAAGGTAAGCCACTAGACTGGGCTTTGAAAGAGCTTAAGCTCTATTCCTGGCTCTGGCCCTGACCTGCTGTGTATCATCAGGCAAGTCACTTCACATGGCTTGCCTTCCCTGCTCCAATTTCCTGTTTGTATTGCATAGTTAAAATGCAAGATGTTAAGGCCAGGGCCTGCCTTTTGCTGTGTATGGGTACACCATCCAGAGGTATAATTGGCAAGTTCTGTGCCCTGGGTAGCGGCAGAGTATGGTGCAGAGGCAGCAGCCATAGGTTCACTGCTGTCCTTTTTTGTTTTGCTGCTGACATAGGTTTAAAGTGGGCATTTGAAAACCAGTATTTGGCAGCACAAAAAAGGAGGCAAGAGAATTAACCCTCTATGACACCTTCCTCTCCCTGCACTGTGCGCCTCTGTGAGCCCCATCATTGCTCCCCACTACCATCACTGGAGTCACTTCATGGAAGGAGCAGGGTGTTGGAAAGGGGACAAGAGGGTGAGGTGCTCCCTTAACTCAGTTCCAGCGCCCTCCCCTTAGGCAGCACCTGAAGCTCTTGCCTCACTTGCCCACCCATTGTTAGGCTACTGACAGCACCTACTGCAGTAAGGTCCCCAGTCTCAGCGGGGTGCCAAAGAAATGCAACTACCTGAGGTCTAAACAGTGGTGATTTAATTGCAGAGTCCCTTTCTGGAGGATATTACAATATAGGTCAAGTACAGGACATGATATGGAACAGATGTGCCGTCAGGCTCCAAAAGGGAAAG